AAACATGGCACTAGTCTATGAAGTCAATTACCCATGTTAATAGGTACAGAATACGTGGTTGGGGCATACGTGGTTATCGCAACAAATGATCAAAGACTTTGAATGACATGGCTGAAAATCGTTTGCGATGGCGCAGATACAACTATTCTCTGTTTTTCTCTAAATTCTGAGTTTCAAAATTCATCATGAAAAGTTTTGTGCTTTTATTTCACTTATTTAAGTTTTCTTCTCGAATCGTATTTTTGGTGCCTAAACTTTTCTGTTATTATTTCTACTCTTCCAGGATTCAGCCCTACAACTTCATATCTCTATGTTAATTGGGTATGGAAACTTGAACCGATGTACGTTTGTACAGGTTTTCACTTGTGACTGGCTAACTGAAATAGATATCATAAAACAACGGCGAAAGAAACAGATTTAATTTTTGATCAAATTGTTTTGCTTAATCCTAAATGTGGATAATATGTTTAACTCACTGCAATTATTATTATCAGATTGTATAGTTGAAGAAAGTTGATCAACTGTCGTGATCTGATAGTTTGTCTAATATAAAATACTAGCCTTAGTGGACAACTTGTTTGTAAAACATACTCCGTTTATTTTATTTTGATGTGACTGGACCGGACAGCAAAGAATTAATTATAGTAAAATAATACGAAGTATGCTTTTCACAGAGTAATCTGATTAAATGGGAAGGATATTACCAAAGAGTTTACATCAAACAACTAAAACTATTCTAGCTAGAATTACAATAAACATTTACTTATCTCAAAGTTATTGACAAAAAAGAATAGAAAGTTTAATGCAGAATTGACAAGTCAACAACCTTGAATTGAGAATGAAGATATGATTCGCTTTAACTTTATCCTTCACTCATTGTTACTTGAGAAGAAAAAGATCTGAATTTCAAATTATAATTTGAACAAGATATCAAGAAAGAAGATGATTAAAAGTTTGATGTTCAATTAAGGAAGTATTCAGCTTAAATTATGTTGATTGACAGTTAAATACTGTGTAAATGTGCCATTTAGTGGATATATATTTGTGTAGATGGAAATATATTAAAATGACTGTGATATTTAAAAACCTTTAAAACTTAATTTCACGTTTCAATGCCTATTTTTCAGCTTAAATTTCAACTAAAGATGCGATATTAAACTAGCAGATGAAGATGTTTTTCTCTTTTATATAATAAGATTTGAAACTCAGTATGAAATTTAAATTCTCTCTCCCCTTTTTTTATCTGCTATAACGAATCAACCATAGAAACTGTATTCATCAAATGAAGTTTTCAACTTGTTATCATAATATATATATATATATATATATATATATATATATATATATATATATATATATATATATAGTATCGTTCTCCTTTTGAAATTTAGGGTTTCTCAGTTCTTTTCAATATAAGATAACTATCATATGCTGTTCAATAATCCTAAATTTATTTTACATTATACAAATTCACATAGAAATGTGTAAGTAGATTGAGTTAATGTGATTGAAGTGAAAATAAATGCCATTTATCTTCATAAAGATAGTGAAGAGTGTCTTAGGTATAGCGCTGAATACCTACCTAATCTTCAATATTGAATTACTTCTGAATACAAAAGTAATATTCAACTTAAATTTTTTCTATAAACTTCTTGTCATTTAAAGAACATTACACTAATGATCACATTAACTTCAGCTATTTTAGACGTGAGTGTGGTACTCACCAATGATATTAGATAATGGCTATTCCATATCGCTAATTAAGTTAATCTAGAAATGCTACTAATCGGATCCCAGTTCACTGATATAAGCTTAAATTGTTTACCCCAAGACCATAAGGTATTGAGTCCCATCATTATTGAGGTCGGTGATGTGGCCAGGTTGAGTTCCATACTGTTACCTCTAAGTTTTCAATGGTTGTGCAATTAAAATTATTTCCTAATCTAAACTAGGAAATTTAACGATCTCGATAACCTTCTCTTGTGATTACATTATTGTTAGTTACGAGTAGTACAATAAGAGATGCGTCTATGGTACATTTTCAAACATGAATTACTTGATAAACCATAGGAAGTAAGTATGTTTCTGTAATAAATTACTTCATAACAGTTATATCTAACCCATAAATTGTAAAAATGAGTAAACAATATGAACATTTTCATGTCAGAAAATAGTAAGAAAATAAGTCAAGCAATTAATATAACTTCTAACTGTGTATACTTCAATTTTAACAAGAAAACTAATATTTCTTCATACAATCAATGGAAAAGGTAGGTTTTAGTCTTTTATTTATTTCAACTTAATTAAAACTGTCATTTCTTAACAAACATTTTGCCAAAACTGAAATTTTAACATTTCAGTACTAAAAATATCAAGATTGTTTAACCAAAATTCAAACAACTAACGGTTGTACACCACAAAAAACTATACCAGTCATTGTTGTTGTTTTGATCTTGTATTTATTATTGTAGAATGATGTACTTTCAATCTTCAATTGCTATTAATGAATTTATCATTTTAAATATAAGTTCAGTTGCTCATATCGACCACAAAAGTGACATAACTCAAAAAGGAAAGTTTTTGGATTACTTGTTATGTGTACTGTTATCGATGGTCATATACGTAATATGTATCTTATGTCAACTTTGCCTGTACATAATTACTTAATTACGCCTGTTACTCCTCATGGAAGAGCATAGGTCGCCCACAAGCATTTTCCACTGAACCCTGTCTTGTTCGATCCCTTCCAGTTGTTCCCAGCTGATATTCATTTTGCAACCCGCGGAGATTGTACATAATACTATATAAATAATTTATCAAATCAAATAACTTATACACCTAGGTGAATAAACATTTGGCATATTTATTAGTAAACTGTCTTTAAAATAATAACTAGTTTGGATCTTTTTGAATATATTCAACAGGCTGTAATAAATATTAACACCTTGATAACCAATATTTAATTTAATAGTTAAATCTGTGAGTCAATTGAACCTAGACCATCGTGAAAAACGTGGAAGCAACGAAAGGCTGTTTTGTCATAGTACGGGACTCCTCAGTAGAGTGGATTGGTCGAAGTTAGACATCAACACCGTTGGATGCCGGCCAGTTCAGTGGTCTAGAGGATAAGAACTCGCGCGCGGGACTCGTAGATCCTGAGTTTCAATCTCGCGAAGTATGACTGTAGGTGCTCGCTGTTGAGTCCCACAATAGGACGAAACGACCATCCAGTGCTTCCAGGTTTTCCATAGTGGTCTAGCTTCAATTGTCTCACGAATTAAATTATTAAATTACTATAAATATCCACAAAATTCTTCTCTGATTACAATATTTATTTGTTTGTTTAGCTATCTCTAGTTCTGTTGAATTAAATTTCGCTTTGACTAAAACTCATAAAACTTAATACAAGTAGATATTATTATCGGAGACATGGATATGAAAAGGAAAAAAAGGCAGATAATAATGAGGGAAAAAGTCATCAGTAATTATTAAACTGGTATTTAGCAAATGTTTACAATTATATCCGGAAATTATAATTGTTTGTCTTTGTTTTTTTTGAATTATGTAAGTATGAAAAATCTGTTTATTAGTTTTCAGTAATCATATTTTTACCGCCTATTAAGAGAGACATTTGAAATTATACTACTCTATACATTAAATTGTTAGTTAAACAAATGATAATCAATGTCATATTGTCTAGACTAAATACAATCAGATAAAAGTACAATGAATATACTCAGTTTAACCTAGAACACTAAACATGAATGGTCAAAATATATCGATGTTTGATTTGATTCTTCTTTACGCAGAGATGAATTGAAAAATAGTGGACTTACTTGCTGTTTCAAAGAAACAGATTCTATTTCGAGAATATTTACAGAATAAATGCCTACTTATAGGTATGATCAAGTTGATACAGATAGCAATGTCACGTGTAAAGGATAGATAATGATTTTATATTATTTGAATGAATTTGGTTCAAAACATGTTTTAATACAACATTTGTCACATGGATTACGACAGTTAGAAATCTCAGTTGGAGACCGTTAGCTCTGTCCAGAGACATCAGAATATTCTTTCCTATGTTAAGTGAGTAGTGATATACAACGTCAAGTATGCATGTCGTTACCACTTATGATGAACAACTAATTATTTACCTCCTGACCATTTACGCTAAATCATTGATACCTAAATAACAGTAAGTAGACTCTATAAACTGATAGGATTTCCTGCGCCTTTATACTCATTATTTACACACATAATATCAATTTTTCTCATTGACGACGAAAACGTAAGAAATAAAATATTAACATTCTGTTTTACAGGTTTCATGATCATTGTAAAATCTGAAATTTGGTCTGTATACATTGATGGGAAGTCCTAACTAAACGCTTCACCAGTCACTGATTCTAATGATTTCATAGGTGATATGAATGATTGATAAAATATACATTTTAATAAGACAATAGTTTCTGAACATTTTAATCAATGCAACGTGTTATGTGCGGTGTTTTGTCACATTTAGAACTCATCATTGACTTTAGAAAATTATCAATATAATAATTACTAAGTGTGATGATCTGCTTACGGTTACTGTAACATTACATTTGGCTTGTAATATAATTAATTATTCAAAAAGTTTAATAAAACTCTTTTGGACTCCCCTGAAAATAAAACATTTCACCAACAGTAAACATCTTGCAATAAAATCGTATTTGTTTAAATGAAACACTGTATTGCATATTTAAACTGTTTGATCGTTAACGAAGAAATGAATGGGTTTCAACCATGTAGAAGTATTTACATAAACTAGTCTGTAACTTGTCCTTGATGTTTGGAATAGTGATGATAAGGTTAATTTGGTTAAAAGAAGATAAATTGCGTAATTGACGAATATGTGATTCAGTAGTTGGACTTCTACAGGAAGTTACTATCTCCTTCAGTAATTTACTTAATGTTTACATACTCATGCATTTGTTTGTTTTTCTAATCTTTTCTAGGTAATCAGCTGTAATCGGCAAGTATGCACATTACAAATTACTGATACTACTGGCAGTCATCAATTTCCAGCTATGCAACGATTGAGTATTAATAAAGCACATGCATTCATCCTTGTATATTCCATAACTAACAAAGCTTCATTTGATGAATTACAACCATTGTATACTGAATTAGCATTAATTAAAATGGATGAATTACCAAAAATACCAATTATGCTTGTTGGTAATAAAATCGATGAAAATGATAATCGAGAAGTTAGTCCAGCACATGGTAAAGCATTAGCACAAAAATGGAAATGTGGTTTTATGGAAACATCAGCTAAATCAAATTTAAATGTGAAAGAAGTTTTTCAAGAATTATTAAAAATGGAAACACGACGTAATATGACATTAGTAGGTGAAATAAAATCACATTCACGTTTTGTATCATTTTTTAAACGTCGTTCAAATGATACACATACTAATAATACAATTGGTGTTGTAAACACTGGTATTAATAATACTAATGGTACAAATTTTAATAATTCTACATCAATTGTTGATGCATTAGATATGCCTAGACAAATAAATACAATACAAGAACAATCTATTGCTAGTACATCAAAAGTTACTAAAACTTCATCAAAATTAAAACGATTTTTAAGCATTAAAACTTATTCTGAATCAATGGGAACAATGAAAAAAGATAAGAATGATGATATTGCATAAACTTCATTATTTGTATCGAATCATAATGATGCCTATTCTGTAAAAAAATAATTATTTTCTACGCTTAAAGTTATAGATTATTTATTCATTTATAAAAATAAAACTACTTTAAAAGAAAATTTATTCCTTTTTTTTAGATTTGGTTAAATAAAATAATTATTTAATATATTCAAATTATATATGATGGTCGGTATTCAATAGAATCCTTAAACTTCGTATACAATTCGTCTTGATAGCCATCACTAGATAACGCCTCAACGGTATATTAATCAGAAGGCGAATACAAAGTGTTGATTACGTTTATTATGGGACCACAGACAGATATGCAAAATTATAGGTATGTTAAACAAACATGAAAGAGTAGTGCCAAAAAGCAATCAGGCAAGATAGCGAGTCAGTGAGTCGGCGCATACGAGTACGAGTAAGCGAGTACAAATAAGTGAGTGCAATGAACATAAATAAAATGGACATATATATACATAGTGAAATGAATGAATCATCGTATCAATTAAGCGACTAATAGTAAGGCTAGCAGGCTGGATATATGCGTAGGCAGTAAGCAATGCTCAAGCATACATAATATTCTAAATGTTACTGTGCTGCGTGCTACTTATATTGACATAAGTAATATATGATTTTACTCGTGAAGAGAAGGTCTAGCAGCAGAGAGACAAGAGGATCAAACAGTAAAGAATGGAAACAAAATGCAGTTTGTATGAAAATGCAAGAACAATGAAGCCTGAGTCATTTTGAGACCATTGATGGACATTATGCAAATTAAGCATTTACTTTATGATTGTTAGATTTTATTGACAAGTCCTGTAATTTTGTGTTAAATACATTCGATTGTCCCCCCCTCGTGTTCGTGTTCACTACACAATCATAATATAAATTTCTGTTAGTTTCCATTTCCTTATAAATAATGACGCCTAATTTGTTTAGTTTTTTTTTATAAAACAATATTATTTGCATTTAAATTAAAGATCATAGAAATTAATAGAGATATGATAAAACTGTTGGAAACAAAAAAATGGTTTCCATTGAAATTATGGAATAATGAGTTTTTTTATTTTTATTTTATAATAATCAATTCCATTATAGTTTTTTTTTCTTTTCGGAAATATTGATTATAACTAACCCTATTTTTCCTAATAAAAAATATTGAGAATTTAGATATAGACATAGAGGGTAAGGGGGGAGTGTAATAAATTTATTACCTGGGTTCAAGACCCTATTTTAGATGAAACAAAATTTTTTAAACAGATATAAACGTCCATAACAACCGATAACCTAAATAAGATAACTTACATCATATTATTGATTGAAAAAAATTGAAAAGTTTACCAAATATTGTTTAACTTAGGAACTTGAATTGTTATACAAAAAGAATTTCAGAAATAATATATATTATTCGTTCGTATAATCAATAATATACCCTTTATAATTCTATCATATTAATAATTTGTAACATCTGGTGAAGTATTAACTCAGAACGTATAGACTTTGTAAGTTGAGCATAATCTTAATTGTAACTAACTGTACAATCCAAGATTTGAGTCACTTCCTGATAAGTTTATCGGCTGATTTCAATACGTTTTGAATCTCGTGCTTTATCTCTGATATGTGCGATCAATATACATTGGGTTATCTCAAGAATCTTATTTTCACCTGAGATTGTTACTGTGAAATATCTATCAATTTCGTTTGCTTGCTTTTAAGATCGTATTGATCAAATTCTATCATGATCACATCGCAAAATGACTCAAAACCTAATGTAGCTTAGATGTTGTTCTGGATTCTATAAGTAATGTTTAATAAACATTTCATGGAAATCCAGATATTGTTAGAAAACAGGCACAAGATTTTTGCTGCAAAATATATCTTACAGATTTAAACTTCATTATCAACAACGGGATAAGTTGAATATTTAGAATAACCAAATCGGTCACCACTATCTAAGAAATGCGGAATATCCCCAATATTTTATTAAAATATAAAGAGAAATTGTAAGTGGATATAAAAAATTCTATCAATTGTTGATCGCTTTTTAGATGATTACAATTTTTAGTTTAATCTTTAATCAAAATACGTGAGAAAATGGAGGATTTATATGCAACGTTTCCATGTAAACCTAATGTATCGCCAAGTGTAATAACTTTCATGTCTACGTTCATGTAATCATGAGAGTTGTCATTTTATAATGTATTTTTTATTAAATGACTAGATTATGCTGTGGATTTTGCTCCAGTTGTAATTTTTATCCGCCACGTTTGACTGCGTTACACTGTACGTTCATTGCATGCTGGAATGATATTCCAAGACCTTGTCAGTTTAATCACATCGTTAATTTTCTTCACATAGATCGTCAGTAAATAATGTTACTGAAGAAAGGTTTGTTGTGCAGTAAACTATGTTTTACGAGCAATTGACTGTTGTCTTCAGTCTCAAAACAACATCATTTGTCTTCTGTTAGGTTAGTTTGACTGGCCTATAATTCGTGTTTTGGGTTTATCGGCTGAATTATGTACATTTAACTACTTTGAGTGATATGTCTGTGCAGATGAAACAATAATTATGGCACTTGCTTAGTTTAGTATTCTTGGTTGTCGTAAAATTCAGTTTGGTCGATAGAATTATAGTATACCTAGGTATAGTATTTGAAGCCTATAACGAAACATCAATTTATTAAGTAGAGCTGCCTTTTTTTAATGAGTATACTGATTAAAATCAGTCTGCTTGGAAATGTGAAAAAAGATGCCTTTGATGCTCTTGTTGTCATACATGATAAGATAGCGATAACTATGTTTGGTGTTTATTTGTAGACTGTACATCTAGAACTGACCATATTTCAAGATCACTGTCATCAAACACTTCCCCCAGCGTTAACATAAGTAGCAGGATAGCTAAATGTCTGTGATTTCGGTTGGCTGCAAAACTGCAGTATATAATCCTAGAAGAGGAGTGTTCTGTGTCTTAATTAAATGCGGCTGGTTGTGGAAAAATGTTAAAAATCTTTCTTCAATAGTTGAAGTCATGAGTCAATTGAAGCTAGACCACCATGGAAAACCTGGAAGCACTGGACGACCGTTTTGTCCTAGTATGGGACTACTCAGAAGTACGCATTCACGATCCCGCCCCCAGCGAGGTTCGAACCCAGGATACGCACTGCTGAGGAGTCCAACACTAAGATGAAACGGCCGTTCAGTGCTTCCAAGTTTTTCTTAGTAGTGTAGCTTTAAGTGACTCATGAGTTCAATTATTAAACTATATGTATGTATATTTTGAAGTATAGTACTTAAGTGGGAGAAAAACATCTTGAATTAAGAACATATATATATTATATCTTGTAAATCCTCACAATATTCATTTATGAAAGGACATACCTAAATAAATTTGTTAGTACACATATATAAACAATATAAAATTCCTTATTTTACAGTTCAAAATTCAATATAAATTCAATTCATTACATAAACATTAATATACTTAGCATCATATAACATCTTAGTAAATTGACATAAATAATTCAAGTATCATTATATCATTATCAATGAATCAACAAGTCCAAATATATTGAATATTTCTGTTAAAAAAACGTTTACTGTTTACCTGTTAATAGATAACATAATGATGTTCAGTAAGGTATTCAATTTAGGTCATAAGGTAAAATTTCACGTTTGACTAATCTAAAGAAAATTAGAAAAATCTAGAATGTTTCGTAGAAGTATCTGTAAGAAAAACAAAAAACAACAAATAAACGATATTCTTTTCTAAAATATTTAAACAAATAGAATATTCTTTATTTACATTAAGATAAATCAGTTACCGAAGTAACGTTTTAATAAACAATATAGAATAATTTACAAGCATTATAAGCAAAGATGGATAGTGGCTAGCAGTGGAATCCAGGACGCGCGTTTCGTCCTGTTTGATTCAAGTAAAGATTCAAGTAAAACAATATCAAGTGAACATAGAATAATATTATAATCTATTTTTATTCTTTTGTCACGTAATACAACAAGTAATATGACACTAACAATGGTTATTTAATAGAAATACAGATATTGCTCATTCTTTTTATACATTCTAGTTATGAATATTGCATAAAAATGTGACTGTGAATTTTAAAACGGTTTCATATTTCATTTTCTATTTTATATGAACTGATTATTTAATTCAGAAAACCTAACTACACTACAATACTATATATATATATATATGTCGCACAGGCGATTGGCGATCAAGACTCAGCAAATAAGTGGATAATACCGTGGCGTTCAGTGTGAACGGTACTGAGTTCGAATCACAGAGTGAACATCAAATTTGAGATGTAGGCACATCCAACTGACGAGTCCCAGATAGGACAAAATGCGTGTATTGGATTCCACTGCCATCCACTATCCATCTTTGCTCAGAATGCTTGTGATTTAAGACGATATCAAGACAATCCGTAGAGTATGCATATATGCCAATAAGAGACTGATCAATTGTAGTCCTAAATAGCAGTGGGAAGATAAAAGTAAACAATACCGAGTGAATTTAGTGTGAATTCTTGTTTACAACAGATACATTTTTATTTTAAGATGTATTTAAATTTAATTAGGTTTTGATGTTTTGAAAAACACCGAATGAATTACTTAAGTAACTTAAATGATTCTATTAATAAATTGTTAGTGCATTCCATGTTAAAGTCTCATTTCAATGAAGTATCTACAAAAAAAACCCCACTTTTAGTGGCCCAAAATCTGACTCTAATTAGATCGTATAAATGATTGTTATTAAATAATTACTGTCGAAATATGTATATCGTCAATCCTCGTATAAAGTTATCGACTTGAATCACGTTAGTAAATAACGGAATAAAATAAGCCAAATACGAGAATGAATTTCGAATACTTATATTTCATATAATTGTTGATCCAGACAAACGATTGTATGAAATATACGTATTCGAAATTTATTCTCGTATTTGGCCTATTTTATTCCATTATTCATTAACGAGATTTAATCTGATGATTATATACGAGGGTAGCTGGGATGTATAATTCGATAACAATTTTTCAACAACGATTATTCATATAATCCAATTAGAGTCAGATCTCAGGTCAATAAACACT